GTGGGGGGGGTGGGGGAAGGGGAGGGGCTTTAAATGCAATTGAGGCTACAATCAGTGTGGACACTATCTAAAAATGGCTCAGTGCTATTCAATGGTTATTTGTAGCATAGATGTGCTATTTTGTAATAAGCTATTTGGGAATTTTTATCCCAAAATTGCTTATTTTGAAATAAACGTGCAGTTTAGCCATAGCCTAAGGTGCCACAGGGCTGCTCATTGTTTTTAAAGTTACAGACTAACATGACTAACCATCTGAGACTTTCATTTATAAACACATGCAGATTGCAGACACAGCAAGTCCTGCCACTGAAGAGAGAACTTAGACGACTGTTCTACAATTTGGCTATCACTGGTAGATAAAGCCAGACCATTAAGAGTATGTTCTAGCACAGCTGATTACTGGATTTTTAAATTGGATAGATAAGCAATTTAAACTGGATGAGAATTCACATTTAAAAGCGAAGCCACTAGCCATGACAGCTATCATACCTTTTTTCGTAGTCTGGTTGTCAGACCACCCAGCTCCACAGTCTGCATTCCTGTGTGGGATTGATCTCTCTCACCCTGAGGTGCCTGCATAACAGCAGCCATGTTATTCCCATTCTTCCATCTTTGTCGTCTTAAAGCAAATGGCTTCAGAAACTCCTGATATGAAACTCTTAAAGAAAAATAGAAAGAGAAAGAACAAATACATTCATGTTGCTACAAACCAAACCTACCTAGATGGTACCTTAATTCATCTTCCTCATTTGAATACTGTGCTCCAAATTTTCTATCCTTCTCAAAACCTGTGTACTTTAATATCGTGTATTTGACTCTTTCCATGCATAAACTTCATATTTGCCCATGCAAATCAAGTAGTTGACCATTTAGCCATCTATTCTGCATTAGCAGACATGCAATTCTGTGGCTGCTGATACAAAGTATATCTTGTAAGTGTGTTCTTTACAGCCCAAAGTTACAGCTTCTTAGATTATTTTTTTATTTTAACATTACCCTAAATGTGAAGAGACCCCATTCAATACAGATAAAGGACATCTTGGCCATGAAGAACTTTCACATTAATTTCACACAAGATGCAATGAAAGGTAGGATGAGAATATGGAAGGGAAGGAGAGGAAAGTGGGGACAATATCATTAAGATTAAGCAGTTATTTGCAAACGTTAGTGCACAGCATGGTGAAGCAAGTAATACAAGTGGGACATGTGGATAGAATTAAGGCGTAGGATCTACCTTGCAAGCATCATGAAAGAAGTGGATTTTCAAGAGAGATGTAAAAGAGTAGAGGGCAGTGGCTGTGCAGACCAGACCCAGTTCCATAACTTTGCAGCTACATGGAAGAAAGTGTGGAGATAGTTGTGTAAGAAGCAGATGGAAAGGGTGTAAAGCTGGCAATACTGGTGAAATCAAGCTTAGATGATATGGAAAAAATGTCCAGCTGAGACTAAAATAGGAAAATCAAATGACCTAAGCAAGAATTTGAATTCCTGTCTTTAAAAAGTGCATTAGTTCATTGTGTCACTTACAGTATCTAACACCACTATTGTTTGTTCAGTTTTATAGACTTCCACTTAGCTATCATATGTTTATGGACCAACTTACTTCTAATTTCCAAGTTTAACTTACCTTCCATCTCCATTGCTTTCAAATTTCTTTCCCAGCATTTCACATTCATACTCATTAAGATGCACACAGAGCTCAGTCAAAATATCTTTAAATTCTTCTTTGCTTATAAAGCCTGTATGGTTGGGGTCTAGCTCTTCAAACTCTTTCTGGAGATCATCCCAAAAATACTCCACCTACAAGAAACAAACCCCATACAATCCTGTAGTGTTCAGGATCTACACCCAGTTCTCTAACACTGCAGCATATACTCCTCGGCTGTGTCTAGACTGGCAAGTTTTTCCGGAATCAGCAGCTTTTCCGGAAAAACTTGCCAGCTGTCTACACTGGCCACTTGAATTTCCAGAAAAGCACTGACGATCTCATGTAAAATCATCAGTGCTTTTCCAGAAAAACTATGCTGCTCCCGTTCGGGCAAAAGTCTTTTTCCGAAAGACTTTTGCCCAAAAGGGCCAGTGTAGACAGCATAGTACTGTTTTCCGCAAAAAAGCCCCGATTGCGAAAATCGTGATCGGGGCTTTTTTTGCGGAAAACCATGTCTAGATTGGCCACGGACGCTTTTCCGCAAAAAGTGCTTTTGCGGAAAAGCATCCTGCCCATCTAGACGCGCTTTTCCGAAAATGCTTTTAACGGAAAACTTTTCCGTTAAAAGCATTTTCGGAAATTCATGCCAGTGTAGACGTAGCCCTCATGTAAT